AGATGAATCCCAGTCACTGTTGACAAGCTTTTGGGACAATATAAATTGTTTTCAAAAGGTTCACATAAATATTCGAGTTTCTCCATTGAAGTGGTTTGTATCAAATCAAGTTTTTACTCAAATTGGAGTAAAAATTTGAGTCTTCATTGGAGATGCTCCTATATAGATATGGTATTTAATTATTACGCCGACGCGAAGTGACCAGCCTCCTGAAATCGAGTAGTTGGCCAGTTTAATGATTTCTTAATCATAATTTAAATCACAAAAACTATGCCATAAGAAAAATCTAATTTGTGCTATGTAAAATCTAGATACGTTTTTAGAATTATTATGTGAATGTAAGGATGAGAGAACCAATATGGAAATTTTTCAAAAGATTCAAGTAAATATTTGAGTTTCTCCATTAGAGTGGTTTGTATCAAATCAAGCTTTTTACTCAAATTTGAGTAAAATTTTGAGTTTCCATTAGAGATGCTCTTATATGGATATGGTATTTAATTATTATGCCGACGCGAAGTGACTAGCCTCCTATAATCAAGTAGTTGGCCTGTTGAATGATTTCTTAATCATAATTTAAATCACAAAACTATGCCATAAGAAAAATCTAATTTGTGCTATGTAAAATCTAGATACATTTTTAGAATTATTATTATTATATGAACGTAAGGATGAGAGAACCAATATGGCTTTTATTTGTTTTCTAAGTCCCAAGCTTTTAGAGCTTTTCACATGTAATAGATTTCCATGTATTTTATTTTTTAGATAATGGTAACGCCGAATATTGACAATTGATAAACAAGTATTGGTTATCATAAAAATTCTTAAAGAACGTGTCAAGGAGTAGTGTCTTCACGAAAAATGTAATCCCACCATTAGGCATTGTTTTTCTTAATACATGCACACGTATATAAAAATGCAACAAGAAATCAATTTTTAAACTTGGAGAGTTAAAATCCAATAGGGAGAACTCTTTTCCTCATTTACGATTTAGTAAAAATATTAATATCAAGAACACCCTATGACTGAGATATCACCTCTGAAGTTTGTGTTGCAAGCACAAGTGCAATTTCTTATATATTAGACAAATGTTGTACTGCACACAAACATTAATTACTACGTCATGTAATTGAAATCACACTAAGCAAGAATTAGAACAAAAAATGTTAGTTCTAAATTTCCTCTATAACTACGTGAATCAAAATGTTAATCAAAATATATGTCAAAGAAGGCAAATTAAAGGATTCCTACATGAATATGTATGTTGAAGCGGTCTAAGAACTCATGTTGAAGTAAGTTTTTCTTATGAAACCTCTTCATTGATGTGTTTAAATTGCTATTCTTTGAACCCAATTTGGAGGCTAGGAAATCCCACCTGAATCTGCCAAGCCACAAGGAAGATACAATATGAAAAAGGTTTGCAATCTCAAAAGGAATGAGCATCATGGTTCTTACATTTATTGTTGCACTTCGTATATAGGTATTTGTGTACATATTAAGTAGTTCCTGTGCGATATCAAAATAATGCTTACAAAAAATTGTCTCGAAAGTACAAAAAGATAGCCTAAATTTCCCACACAATGCAGTTGTATCAAATTAACAGAGGAATTGGAAGTTTGATTAGCAATACCTTTGATGCCATATGAATGGAGAAAACGTGGGGTCAAGCTGAAGTGCCTTATCCCAATGCTTGATCATGTGCTCGTGAAGTTGCAATGGGTTATCACAAGTGGCTCGATTACTAAATAAAGTCATGAGAATTTCAAAGATATGAATCAATCGGTCCACAATCAAAAAACTCGAATTCAATTTTGTAAAATTTCATGCACGCACCAGATGTTTTGGATAACTCATAACTAAGAATGGAGAAAATCCAGAGTGCCAAAGGCTAATTCTATGCATAACAAAACTATCTTTAGATCTACAAAGCTTCCCCAAAAAATATGTATAACAAATTTAGCAACAGAATCCAAAAGACAATCACAAAGAATATTAATTGACAGAATGAGGAGTACCTCCTAACTAAGGTAAACATTCAACTGAATATTAAGAGCAAGAATCTGTGTGGTCTGAAAACAATTATTGGTTCTAGATATTGACTTTGTAACGTTAGTGAAGGATTAAAAGGAAATTGTAACTGGTCAAATAAGGATTGAAATGACCATACCAAGAGTTAATTAAGAATCTGTAGGAAAGTTAATTATTAAACCCCCTAACAATTAACTTGGCCTAATTTATTTACATTCAAAGATAAAAATGACCAAATTCTATTGTTGAGGGTTATAAAAGGAAATTAAAAGTTTTGAAGAATAGATGATATTTTATATTAGTATAGATATAGATTATTAGTTCTGGATCAGGGCTTCACTCATTTCACTTAGCTGTTTTGGAAATCATCCATTATTGAAGCCATTCAACTATATCTTGTATATCTAACTACTTTTTAGCTCCACTACATTATTCGAGTCAATGTAGCTCTTGGGATACCTTACTGAAGTGGCATTTGATGTGTGTGCCCTTTATTAGGCATCACTGTGTGCAACTCTTTTGTAATGCTTAAGTAAAACGAAAGTCACTTGGGCATTCGCCTATGAGTTCATCTTTAGTTGGGTCCTTGAGTTATGTAGTTGATTCAGAACACATTAAAAAGGTCTCAAATTGAATGGTTGTTGATGAGCTTAGACACACGGACACTTCTGAAAAGGTGACATTTTTGTGTTGGCCACATCCCAAACACTGTCATTCCTTGTATACTCTCATACACATGTTTGATATTCTTTGTATCATGCGTATGGTTAAAAGCAAGTTTTAATTTTGGACACTTGTTCGAGACCTTGGATACTCTCTAACACATGACTGCCACTCTTTGGATCATGCCCATGATTAAAAAGAAGTTTTAATTTTGGTCACTTGTTCAACACTGCTTTGGCGACATGTATGATACTTCGTAGATCACGTCTATGAATTAAAAAATATACGTGTAGCCTACACTTTTTGGATGCTTGCTAGGATGTATTATTTAAGTTTGAAAATCAAATGACTATTGTATTCCATGCGATTAAAAATTCCCTAAATTTATTGGAAAAAGCAAAAGGCTCAAATGTTTAACTAACAGCAATGGCTCATAATCTTTATCTATAAGAAATGGTGGTTATTAGCTGCTATGGTTCATTTACCCAAAAATCTGGTGGAATTACTTGATATAAGTTTACTGAAGTAGCAATCATTTTCTTATATTGTGCAAAAATATGTATGTGATCCAGTTTTAATACAAGAACACAGTTATATATAGCCCCTCCTAGTTGTGCCATTGTCCTGCTTTATTAGGATTTGCCTGTTGACATATGTTGATGTATCTATTGTGAGTTGCGTTGCTGTCTATATCCCGTTTCTTTGTTTCAGGGTTGATGAGTTCGATTTTATTGCCTTTTTTGAATATTATCATACATTTTTTGTTTTTTTTAATCACAACAAAGTCGAGTTTTATTGATCTGTTACCAATTGTTTAAATTTGTTGGGTCCAATCCATTATGTCTAGGGTTCTTTATTGGTACGTGAGGAAACATCACTTGGAAAGCCAGTACGCGCCTCATTTGTAGTACAAGATGCGAAGTTTTCTAGTATCACAGGGGTAGTGTCTAGAATCATAGGGAACTTATTTTTAGATTAGGCTCATGTCTCTAGATAGATTGGTAAAATTTTAGAATCAGTTGCACATTGATTGAACGTGTACTGGCTGATGAGTCTGCCGACTGAACCAGTTGGCTGGGTTGCTCTAGGATTCAAGAAAGAGGCGTTAAGCAAGCCGTTAGGCATCCCACACTATATGAGTATATATTTCACCCATGTCAGTCCATATCGAAGTGAGAGAGCTCGTAATAGAATTCATCTTTTGAGTGATTTACATTGGATTAAAGTTGATAAACATCCTCTCTCCGATCAAAGTCCATATTTCAGGAACATTGAAGAATTAAGGCTGGAAAATTAGGAGCTTTCTTACTATATTTTAGTGTGTTAGACACTTGAATTACCACACAAGCCCTCACAAATATTACAGATAAAGGCTTGCCTCAACAAGCGGCTTTAAGGCTGTAAGTGCATTTATTGAGAGGCATGTTACTAGGTGAACCAACAAGTCCTAGGATTGTTTGCAGAGGTGTTAGGAGGTTAAGGGTGAGTCTAGTGAATACTTGCCATGGAATATTCTTGTTCTACAGCATAAGGAAAACCTGTTGCCATTTGCTAGTAGTAGAGGAGATAGAAAATCCAAGATAAAATAGGTTGGGGTACTGGTTTGTGTATTTTGTAAACGACAGGGTCCGTTGGTTGAGAGAGTGGATGTAGGCTAAGGGGAATAACTGAGCCACTGTATATCATTGTGTTCAGTTGTGGTTTGCTCTGCTTGGATTTCAATGATATGCTCCAGTTGATCACTCTTATTACATTAGTAGTTTGGAAAGTGAACTGTTATATCTTGATGTTAATTGTGAAAGTTGACGAGTGATATTCTAAGCATAAAATTAAACATTAATGACGGAAAGTAAAAACTTAGCATGCATTTGTCACATGAAATAGGAACTCAATTCGTTGTTCCGAGATCGGAAAATATTGTTGGTGTAATGTTCTTATAAAAAGATTTGAATTGAGAAAGAATTGCAATTATCTAGTTCACTTGGTCACAGCCGATTTGATTTCTATGTTGATCTTAATTAGTCAAACCTTGGGTTTTGAATGTGGTTTAGTTACCCTAATTATACATTAGTCTTAACTGAGTAGAGCGAAAAGACCAAAAATACTTTGGTTGAAAGCATTTAAAAAGTGAACTAAGGAACTTGAATTAAACAGAGATTTTAGATAGTCCCGTTTACCCCGCTCTAGGACTATTTTTATAAGCTATATGGTCCAATATTCTGTGACCCATGGCTTCTCAAAAATGTATTCCCAGTCCTTGAGTGTGTTTTGAGCTATTTTGTAATAATTCCTTACAGAAAAAGTACTATTACAGGAATATATCAGCTACTTGAAATTTAGAGATATGTCTTCAGCATCAACTTCCAAGTCCAAGCCCAAGGAAAAGCCCTCTGTGAAGGCTGCCAAGGAACAGGAGAAGGCTGCTTCCAAGCATTCTGGATCCATTAACCCTGGGACTTGCTGTCCTGCAGGTGCTTACGATCCGATTTCTGGACATTTCTTATCCTGGATACAGCACCAGTGACCTCTTCCCCACCCGTCCAGAGCAATGGTCGTTTCCAACGTATAGATGAACCAGATGAACAGACTGGTAGCTCGCATGGAACAGTGGTGGACTATGATTCACTATCCAACAGTGGAAGCTGCTCTGGTGAGTCAGAGGACCATAAAGAGAAGTTAGCCAGTGTAGCTAAACGAGAGGAAACGATACCTGGATCGGACAATGACAAGCGAGAAAAGATTCGTCAGAAGAATGAGAGGAAACACCAACGTCAGAAGGAGAAGCGGGCACAGGAGTTGAATGAGCGTTGCTGTGGCTATCTTATGTCAAGAAAACTGGAATCATTCACTCAGAAACTTGTGGCAATGGGATTCTCATCTGAGCGGGCAACCTTGGCCCTTATGTGGAATGATGGCAAATTAGAGGAATCTGTCAACTGGCTATTTGAGGGAAGCGAGGATGACGCACAGAAGAAGGATCTTGGAAACGGGCTTAGCCTGAAAATTGATATCAGTGAAGAGCTTGCTCGGATTGCAGGTATGGAGGTAACATACAAATGCTCAAAACAAGAGGTTGAAAGAGCTGTTACTGCTTGTGAGGGTGATCTGGACAAGGCGGAAGAAATTTTGGGAGCTCAGAAGCTAGAACCACCTGCTACTCCATCAAAAATGGAGGCCAATGTAAAGCTCTTGATGAGAGTACAAGAGAAGCCTACAGCTCTAGTTACAGCACAATCAAGAGGGAATGATAGGGATCTTAACTATGTCAAGAGGGTAGTTTCAGGGTCAACACTTTCAGAACCTGGGAATAGAAACATGCAGGATTTAAAAGCAAATCAGCCAATGTTACGTGCAGAGAAGAGGTGGCCTGCAATAGGGTCAAGCTCTTCTGTCTCATATTCCGTTGCAGCCCCTCTACAAGTAGGATCTTCATCAGCAAAAATGATGCCTCAGCTCAGTGTCAGCGGAAATGAAGGGAGAAATATTCAGCAGGGAGTTCTGAGGGAGCCAATAATTATGATGCAATGCCCGCAATCTCATAATGCAAAGCAGAATCCAGTTTCTAGCATAATTGTCTCTCCTCTTGGGACTAATGGATGGTACCCAAGTAATGGTCTGGGTATGGAAAGTACCAAGCTAAATGGTAAGTTCCTGCACAACCAGAGCACAGGAAACTTTGGCTCTGAACGTTTGAACTTGCAACACTTCAAACCACAAACTCAGAGCACTAGAAGTCCAGGACCAGATAATTTGAGCTCACAACCATATTACCCCCAAGCTCAGTATGCACAACACGTGTCCAACTTGGTGGATCCTGCAGAAACCAGAATGGGCATCTCATGGAGGGCTACGGGTGCATCTTCTCCATCACTTAAGGTGCCATCCTCTCTTGGACTATTTTCTGGTTGGGGCTCAACAGTAACGGTTGGTTCATCTTCGCATGTTGATTGGAACACCGGTGACATGATGTATAACTGTGATTACAAAAGTATAGATTGGACCCTGGAACCAAACTCTTCCCGTTCAAAGGCAAATGGGTTGATTTTGGGGCTTTCTTCAATGAGGCTTGGCAGTACAAATGGCATCAGCGTCCCAGGCTTGCAGACTGGTGGAATGGCTACAGAAGCCTCATCTTCCATTGGTTCGCGTGAGTGGACATCTCCTTTTGCAGGGAAGGATATCTTTACCGTGCCTAGGTTTGTTATTTCTCCCTCACTGAATTAGGGGCAGGGCAGATATGTTGGTTTTGGTTGGTCGTTTATGGTTGTATAATGCTTGTTACACTGTTTTAGCAATCTATATATGCATCGTGTTCTTGCCTGATATTTTACTTTTTCGTTGTTCTTGTTATGGTTTTGGGTAAAACTGAGAACTGAAAAACTACTTTTCGGTATCGTATCAAAGATTACTACAAGGTAAGCATTAGATTATTCAATTTGGTGAGATTAAGACAAAAATGAGGTTTTTTTGGAATGATTCTAAATTTTTTGGGATCGGACCCAACTTGTCTTGGATTATTTGGGGATAAAATAGTTTGTGGAACACAAATGGAACTACTATACTGATGTTGGCCAAACCGGATCACTTGCTATAGAAATGTTGAATCCTCAAGCCTTCGGGGGAAAAATGTAAATTTTTAAAAATAAACTCGGAATTCATCAAATACAAATAAGAACTAAAAAATGTATGTCGTGAAAATCAAATATTTTGGGATCTATTAAAGTTGAGTAAAATAATTTACCTCTTATTGTATTGTATAACTTCGTAGTAACTCTTACGATTCAAGTATGATCAATTTTGATAAAGACTTTAATCTTTCACTAATTTTATGATTTTACCTGTCTCCGCATATAATTCTTTTATTGGTATAAGATGAGTTTTGTATATTTTGACAATTTCTAAGAAAAAATGGAGAGAAAGGTGGTTTGCATCAATATCTGACCAAAAAAATAAAAAAAATTAGTTCTCTCTTTTTGTTGCTTTGTAAAATCTCAATATGTATTGGAATACGACTTTTCGATATTGTCTTTCACTTTTCATCCAATAAAATATGTTCCATGTAAACTTTTATATTATTTCAATCAATAGTTGTAAATCATATAATTTAAAATCAATGACTAAAATTAATAGAAGTACAGTGCGAACATCGGTATCATAGCCTAACCGTGCTTTTTATATTTGCCAGTCTACATGACAAGGGAGAAATGCGGTAGTTTCCCAATATGGCTGTTGATTTGTCACGATGTCAGCAAAATCAAGAGCACAAATCAAGGGAGAATTAGCCTCATCTAGCCTAGAACTCAATAATAGTACAAGGTCAGATTAGATATCATACTTATTTCAACTTAAATTATTAGTGATGTATGGATTGTATCAAGGTGCGGGCAAAATACTTACGAGTTTTACCATGAAATTGTCAAAGGGGAGATTGTTATTTTAGTAAGCGTGTTAGCATCACACGACAGACAAATACTAGTCTCGGAGACTCGAAGACATTTTTTTTGAAAGAATTCGAAGGCTTTACTGCAACAACTAAGTACTAAAAAAGATCAACAAACCGAACACAGGACCAAAAACAACATTGGAAAGTACGTAATAATAATAGAATAGTGTCACCATTATATTGACTATTTTCTCCCGATAAAGATGTCAAGTTCAGAGGGAAATCACCACCACAACCCGTTTATTTTTCTCTTTCTTTCTGCCTTTTTCTGCCTCTCTCCAGTAGGCTCTGTATGCTCTTTTTTCACATCTGATCACCTTATATGCAGAAGCCATCTGTCCCTTTTCTATTGTTTCTCCTTTTGACAGCATTGAATCAAAGAGCTCCTGCAATATTATCTAGCAATGCTTTTTAAGTCGTTTGATCCATTACAAAATCATGGCTGAGACTGTGGCATTGTGTGTCTATATTACAGTCTTTAAATAAAAAATAGAAAAAAAATGAACCACAAAAATTAGAGTTCATGGTACTAGCTAGCATATACTTCATATAAATACCGTATTCTCTAATCATTCTAAAAGTCATTTTTGATTATTACGTCGTTTTCCCAAGTACTATAGTGTCACCATTGGTCGAGTCAAGCTAAGGCCTCATTTCACTCTTGTAAAGGGAATGAGTTCATCGAAAGACTAGACTAGTTGCTCTCTTTTTGTGTAAATATTGACCAATTCTAAACAAGAACATAGCAGTTTAATTTCAATGCAAGCATTGCTATCTCACAGATCCCTTCTTGAATTTTCTTTAAATTGTCTTGCCATCACTCCAACATATGCTACAGTATGATATTCACCATGAAGGATTAAAATTTTATTTCGGTGCACAATTTAGATTGGTCTGGAAATAGTCATATTTCTTTTTGGCATGTAATGGAAACAAATCAAAATTTAAAATTTTGATTCCAAAACATTCCGCAGAATTAACTAAAACTTGTCAACACATTCCGAAACACAAGAATTTTGATTTTTCATCAATAATTTTGTTAGGAAATTACACTTTCCCCCAGATTCGTTTGAATTTCGACTGAAACCGAATTCGACTGTTTTGTTGAAAACGAAATGAAATTTTGATCCTTGTTCATTTATTATTGTTATGACAAAGTAGATGTGAAAGAAAAGAATAATACTAGACTGAAAAATCTGTAATGTTTGTACCTTTATCTTTCAGTTGCTCTGTAGTTTCTAGAAACTGGACTTTAATTTTCTGGAGTCTGACCAAGGCATCCTTCATGTTGATCCTGTTATCAGGTAAATCACTTGAACAATCCATGGCCAATCTTAACAGAGATGATACACCATGCTCCTTCGCGGAGTAATGTTCATACTCATCTCTCATCAGATTGGTGTCTACAACTTCAATTATTGAACCGTGAAGTGCTTTATCAACCCAACTCTTCAAGCTCAATTCTCCAGCAAACATTTCCTCTGTCGGCTTCTTCCTCCTGAACATTTCCATCAGCATAATGCCATAGCTATATACGTCGCCCTTTGTGGATATTATTCCTTCCCTTCCATACTCTATACATGACATTAGCAGTCACTATAGTACCAACAATGAAAGGACTTCAACTAAGAGTGACGATTTATGACATGACATGTTAATTCGACACGAAATTGACGGGTTAGTGGTTGGGGTTGATTGGTCATATACAAAAACCCGTATATGACACAACATACAATAACATAAACAATAAGTGGGTTAGGCTAGCGTTGAACGCACCGAGCTCGACATGACAAACCTATTTAACAAGTATAGTATGTAGAAGATGTATAAATCTTTGGTTAAAGGAGTTTTTTACTTAATTTTCCTAGCAGAAATATTGACAAGTATAGTATGTAGAAGATGTATAAATCTTTGTTTAAAGGAGTTTTTTACTTAATTTTCCCAGCAGAAATATTGAATAAATACTTACCTTTTGGGAACATATGGGTGGTGAGTTTGGTTGAGAGAAAAATGGGGTCCACTCTTGGGTTTTTTATTTACATGTGACACGTATCAGCTCGAACAAGACACAATTAATAAACACGTCGGGCTAGTGTGATGACATCATCTGCTGAATTGAGGTTGACTAGTACCCAACTCAAACTACCAAATACACAATTTACAAAATGACAAAACTTAGAACATCAATTTGGATGCTAGAGTATGGATCATTACCTGGGGCCGTGTACCCAATTGTTGCCAAGGTCATAGTTTGTGCCATAAACTCCCCCTCTCCGAAGAGTTTGGCAACACCGAAATCTCCAACATGTGCAACCATATCCTCATCAAGTAGCACATTGTTGGGCTTCAAATCACAATGAACAATGGATGTTTTAAGACCATGATGTAGATATTCCAAGGCTGAAGCCACATCTATCATTATATTTAACCTTTGAATGATATCCAAGTAATGGTTATGAGAGTATAACCATTTGTCAAGGCTCCCATTAGGCATGTATTCTAGTACCAAGGCTTTGAAATCCATGTTGGAACAACTACTTATTACTCTAATTAGATTCCTATGCCGAATGTTGTGCATGGCTTCACATTCAACATCAAAACTCTTGAATGCTCCTTCTATATGCAAATTAAAAACTTTTACTGCTATCTTAACTTCATCTGACATTGTTCCTTTATATACTGTGCCAAAACTCCCAGTACCAAGAAGGTTGCTGTCACTAAATGCGTCTGTTGCCTATAGAAGTTTGTAGTACGATATTGTTCTCCATGGAAAAGGTAATGAATCCGAGTGGGCGTGTAAATTCTTACTTGGTTTTTTCCATCTAAGTAACATGTATATAAGGGCCACCGCAAGGATTGCTGATGTGGTGGGCAGTAAAATGTATAGCAATAGAGGCATAACTTTGGACCTTGATTGTCCGAGAGAGCCATTTCTGCATGGCGGGACTTGCAATCGATGTGCACTACATAGTGCATCATTTTGCACGAATGATTGAGCTGTAAAGTTTGCAAAATGTCCCCCTCAAGATACCTTAGAGCCTCCAAGGACTTGGGAATCACTCCAGACAGATTGTTATTCGATAGATCTAAAAACTCTAAATTTATTAAGGAGCCAAATGACTGAGGAATGGGTCCTTGAATATCGTTACCCGCCAGGGATAGAGAAACCAATGATTGAGCACCTCCAATGGAGCTCGGGATGTCCCCTGACAACTTATTCCATGACAAGTCTATTTGTGCTATTACCCTCAATTTTCCAATATCTGATGGTAAGTAGCCACTTAAAAAATTTGAAGAGAGATTTAGACCAAGTAGATCTGTAAGGCTCCACAAGTTTAAGGGCACTGTGGAATTCAAACTGTTGGAATCTAGGAAGACACTTGTCAGGGATTTAAGTTCACCCAAGCATGCTGGTATGGGTCCATGGAGCATATTGTCACTTAAATATATGTGTCCCAAGCTCTTCACCTGGCAAAGATCTGTGGGGATGAATCCTTGTAGTCTATTGTGCTCAAGATATAACCGTGTGAGATGTTTCAAACTCCCGAGTCCTCTTGGGATGAATCCTGTCAACTCATTGCTATCTAAGCTTAACATCTCCAAGCTACTCAAGTTTCCAATTCCACTAGGAATATTCCCTTTAAGTTTACATCCAAATGCTGCCAAATATACAAGAGAAGTAGAGAGATTCCCCAGTGACATCGGGAGGGCGCAATTTAGTTGATTGAGTGACAATTCCAACAACCTCAAGTTTCTGCAATTTGTTAATGAAGAGAAAAATCGCAATTCTGTAGTGGAGGATTCCCTTGTCAGATTATGTTCCCCCAAAATAAGATAGGACAGGAGTCTTAAATTACCAAGATCAGGAATAACTCCGGTGAGTGAGTTGCCAGACATGCCTAAGATGGTAGGCTTAGAAGCATTCGAGATGAAGCTTGGGATTATTCCCTTCAGGTTGTTGTTATCGAGCAAAAGACGCTCGAGATTGGGAAGCCAAAGCCCCATGCTCAATGGAAGATAACCAAAGAAATCATTGTTACCCAGCACCAGCGATTTAAGAGTTGAACTATTGAATATTTTGGTTGGAATAAGGCCAGTGAAGCTGTTCTCATGGATGACAAAACGCTCCAGATTAAGATTACCAATCTCATCAGGTAATTCCCCTGCCACAATATGAACAATCTTGTATTAATCAAGCTTTAGCATGCCTGCAGAAGGGGTGAATAGGTTTATCAAAATTAAGACTCAGACAATCACCAATTTAAAACCTAATCCATCACAAGTATCAATTAATCAATTAATGTGTAAACCCTTTTTACCAATCAAGAACAACTCGCCATGTTAATGGACGGAAGAATATGTCAATAAATTGTTCAACAACCCAATTCACATCAATGATGATCCCTCCAACAAAAATAACTCTCACAGAACCCAATATGATGAATGTTTAAGTTAGATAAGTCAATGTGACATTTGTTCAAGCTTGGTGAGTGCAATTGTGAGTGTGTGTGTGTGTGTGTAAGTGTGCAAAATAAAGCAACAAGAAGCATCCACAACACAAGCAATTTATTGATGCGAAAACCCTCCTTGGGAAAAACAGTGACACCGATTCCCGAATCACCTAGCGTCAAATTCATTACTCCAAAGTCAATTTATAAGTACTTGAATCTTATACCTCAATCGGTACCCATGGTTAGATGCTCATTTCTATTGTAAATCACTCTTTTGAATTTGCCCACCAAAGTCTTGAGTAGCTTCACTTGGACCCACTCACTGCAAGGAACAACCTTGGCCTTGAGCAATCTTCTCTTCTAAGATCCTCAGTATGTGCAACTAAAGTGGGTTTTGTCGAACTACAAACAAGATCTCCTTCATCGATGGGTGAGGTTGAATTGGAAGAATAAGTTGGTTTTGGCCTTTTTGGATTTAGGGAACTAGGGTTGACCTTGGTTCTCTAGATGTTGTAGAGGGAATATTTTAGAGTATTAGAGAGTTACCCTAACTTGTGAAGACTTATCCTATTTATAGGTCCAGAATTAGGTTTGTATTGGAGTCCAAGTAAACACAAATTCCCACACTACCACTCAAGCCATTAGAGAGCGGTGGGAGGATGATTGTCACCAGAATGAGAAAATGGTTCAAACCAAATTTGTGGAGCAGAGACCGCTTGAGACGTCCCAGGATGCTCGAGCGGCCAAAGGGTGGTCACTAATGTACAACTCGTCAGCATTTTCTAATTTTTTCCTAAGTGTTCAGAGATTGTTCTAGCTGAAGGTAATAAAGGATAGAATGGTCCCTACTACTTTTTAAGCTAGAAACCAATCAGAAACTTGACATATTGAGCACTAAGGAGTCTTGTTCAAATAAGATCTGATTCATGACTCATTCTATCTTTCAAAACGCATTTAAATTTTAGAAAAACTTTTTCATGAAAATTCTAAGAGTTTTTCATGGATAATCTCAAATCCATTTCAATTAACCTAATTAGTCAAAGTCTAAAATTAAACCAAAGGTTCTTAGGTATCTAGATCATTACATTTGTCCTAGACTCATGAAGGTGAATTGGAGATCTCTTGATTTGACTTTGAAGTTTGAACTCCTCCATCCTTAAAGCTTTTGGTACTTGATCTTTGAAAAATCATGACCATGAATTTAGGTAGAAATTTACAATAAGACATCATAAAGTTAGTCAATTACAAATAATTTCTTAATAGTTTCATTGCATAAATGATCACTGGAGAGCAAAAACAGTTTTAAAATATGGTAATTTTGAAGCAGATTATTATTGTCATGTTATTTTCAGAACTACCACAATTTGAAATATATTTCTTCCTCATAATATTCATGGAAAAAGCTTCTCCCTCGCTGAATTAAAGCCTTATTGCAGCCGATGATTTTGGCTATGGAACTGGAGAAAAAAGAAAGGAAAAGAAGTACTTATTGCAAGTTCTATAGAAGCTTTGCCCCTCCCCCAAGCAGAAAAGCTCAGATTTTTGCAATCCAAAGCATGAGATTACATGCTTCTTCCACGGAATGTATGGCAGTCTCCAAATGCCTTGCAGATAAACTATTGAGTGTCGAAATTTTGTATTGTTTAAGCCATTTTGACCAAAACATTTAAGTTTATGTAGAAAGTGGAACGAACCAATGGTAAAAAATTAAAATTCATTGTTTTAGGTTGTGGCGGCCAATGATGTAAAATCAGATTTCAATTTTTTTTCTTGCTTCAATTCTGATTCTGAAACATATTCGAATGTTTTCTATTCCCAAGGTGATCAAAACCAATCATTGATGAAAGTTTAATCCTTGTAGATAATATACAAGAAAGATTGTTATAAAAATAAGGGCGACAAAGATTGTAAAGTACCTGTGAAGTTGTTGATAGCTAGATACAGTTCCCAACTTTGTCAGATATTCCACCAGTGAAATTATTATCGGACAACGATAAGATTTGAAGCCCTCTGCTTTCCCATAAAGCTGATGGGAGGGGGCCACTGAACTGATTGGAGGAAAGGAATAGGTTCTTAAGAAGAGGTACATTAGAATGAATATCCACTGGAAAGCTTCCAGACAAGCTATTATTTGAGAAATCAACCTCTTTCAAAGAAGAAATATTGAAGATGGCAGATGGAATGAACCCTGTTAGAGAATTACTTTTTATGCTCAATATCTCCAAATGTGCAAGATTACCTATCTCCTTTGGAATTCTACCTGCATGGTGCCAAGCAAATTTTCAATTGGATTATTCTAATATGTGAACAATTAGCTAGGGATGTCAATTTTACATATTTACAAAAACATGATACAAATATGACATGAACACAAAAATAACCGGAGCAATTAACACAAATGATAAATACGCTCGGATAAATGTTGAACACAAGTAACTCATTTATTGGTATTGTATGCTTTTTTTATTTTTCAATTTCTTGAACTAATATTGTATAAGTTATTTTAGAATTAAACGGGTTTATTAACACGAACATAATGCCAACATGAAATGAAACTGGAATGAAATGACACGACTATGAAAAGACGCGAACATAGGAGTGTAACCACACTTTGCTTAGTTCGGACAATTGCCCCACTCAATTTATTGGTGCAATTTTTTTTTTATACATGTTCCATTACAAAATTTAAATTTGTCCTATCAAAAAAGTTTAAATGTATTTTGATCTAATTAATCATCTCACATTTATATAAATCTTGAAACTCATGATTAGGTTGCTTAACTAATATATCATCAGTTGAATCCCATCATCATATTTTCAAAATATCATCCCAAACTTTCTATTCTCTTTCCTTGTATCTTGTCCCCTCTTTCTCACCATTGTTAATTTGAATATTCAGAAAAACATAATTAATAACACTGATATTGAAATTATTATCCAATAGTTTCAAAGTATGAAAACTAGTCAAGAACAAGTTTTTTTAAAAATTGAGAACCTACATTAGATCGGTAGAGAATGATAAAGGATCTGAATTGTAGGATCAAATCGAGAATTGTAAAATCCTACGAATTGAAAAGTTGAGGAGGAAAATATATGCAACAATATAAAATTCTTAAAACATGAATAAAACAAGCCTAGTATGTTTATCCATATATCATACCTGTCAAGCTGTTACTCCCCAAATATAACTCCTCCAGCACAGTCAAATTTCCGATTTCTATAGGTATTCCACCATAAACCCGATTGAAGGACAAAGAGAGACGTTGAAGCTCTCGGCACTTGTAGATATTCGATGGAATCAGGCCGTCGAGACGATTTTGAGAGAGATAGAGTTCTTCTAGTTTAATAAGATGATTGCAAATATCAACTGGCAGATTACCAGATAAGCTATTATCTGTGAGATCAATTGCTCGCAAAGCAGACATGTTGAATATTGCTGATGGTATTGAACCTGTCAGTTGGTTATACCTCAAGTTTAATAACTCCAAGTTGGACAGATTTCAGGTGGAATATTTCCTTGTAAAATATTATGCACAATATTCAATTTCTCTAGCTTTGATATGTTGCATACATAAAGTGAAGTGGTGCCTTTTTGTGGGAATGACTACCTTGGTACCATAACGAAATTTATAATTAAATAGGGGTTAATTACAACTCACTTGAGGTCAAATTATAATTCAAAAAAGTTAATGACGACTCGGAATAGAGTCAGAATTTTATCCTTATGGGGCCAAATTTGATGTAGAGAAACTAAGACCAACAACATTAATTACATTTATGTTTTATAGATTTAAGTTCAAATGCAAAAAAATATATCTGAGCAGAATTATAATCAATATAAACAAAGTTAAAAGGTTATCTAGTGCATGAGACTCTTGTCAATGCAGAGCTGGGGAGGGTCAGATATATGCAATTTTAGCTCTGCATGTAGAGAGGCTATTTCCTTTTCTAATAAAAAATGAATAGTCTTTAAAAAATAGTTCTTGTAAATTAAAGATTCTAATAGAAAAGAAGTTAAGCAAAATGAGTAGTTTTCCAATAAATATCCACTTAGTCATCTATCGAAGTAAAACTAGGTTATCTTTTCAACAAGAGAAATCATCTATTATTAAATCCATTTTCTTCCTGTTCAATGAAAGTCTCTGTAATGATTATCCTATAGAGACACCTGGATGTATAGGAATATCATGCCATTGCTTTTGAGCTTTAGATTTGATGGTTTGTTTTGAGGTGGTTAGGGCTTAAGATGTATAAGTACTAGATTTTGGTCTTGAGATGGGCCTTTTTGTTAGGAATTTGGTGGAATTTAGAACATTTTCACTTGGGCATTCATTTAGAAAAATCAAATTATAAAAGAGCATTTTAGTGTTCGAGATTCGCACCGCTACGAAAACTAGAGTCAACAAAAAAAAATGTTTTTAACAATATTTCAATAAAAAATTGGAGTCAGAATCTAATAGAATGACTCATGTTTCGGTTAAGTTCTTATATATTAGAGTTAACTACTTATTTAGTCATTAAACTATACTATTTGTGTCTGAACAACGTTTTGTGTCAATTTAATCCCTAAACTATACAATCTAACACAATGTCCGTCCCAATTGGCCATTAATTTTGACGAAAACTTTCATGTGCACATCACGTGACCCCTAAACTATAATCAAATCTCTAACTCATATGATATACATGTGAGGGTTCCGTCAAACTTAGCGACGAAGTTTTGACTAAAGAGCTACATTGAGTTAGATTATATAGTTCAGGGGTTAAATTGACAAAAAATATAGTTTAGAGACTTAATTGATATAAATGATATAGTTTTAAGGGCCAAATAAATTAAGAAAGAATTACATTTATATCCCCTGAGGTTTATCACTTAATCACTCAGACCCCCTGACATTTGAAATATTACACACAAACTCTCTGAGGTTTGTTCGCGCATAACACTTAGATTTTTGCCGTCAAATGTCCGTTAGTATATCTGTTAGTAAATTATACCCAGACCCCCTGAAGCTTATAAGCGGATAATACTTAGACACCTCAAGTTTAAAATGTTATACTTAGGCCAAAAATAATCTAATCAATATATAATATCAAATATTTTAAATTTTACAACAAAAATCTATGTTCTATTATATCATTTATTGAAACAAAATTAAAAATAAAAAATCAATTTTTTTCTTAAAAACTCGTAATTAGTATATAATTATATTATCTATTGGAATAAAACCAAAAAAATCAAATTAGGGCTCCAAGTCATTTATAATAGAACATGAATTTTACAACCAAAATATATGTTATATTATGTCATTTATTGAAATAAAATCAAAAATAAAAATCTAATTTTTCTTAAAATATCATAATTGTGTACAATTATATTATCTATTGGAATAAATTTAAAAATTCAAACAAGGGGTCAAACTGTAATAGACATAATATATTCTAGTTTTAATTGAGGTAATTTGGTAGTTTAATTTGATCATTTAAACGACCAATTTAAATTCCAATAGATAGTATAATTGTATACTAATTATAATTTTTTAAAAAAAAATTAGATTTTTATTTTTAATTATATTTCAATAAATATCATAATAGAATATAAATTTTGGTTATAAAATTTAAAGTATTTGATTGAATTATTTTTTGTCTAAGTATAATATTTTAAACATGAGGGGTCTAAGTAGCACACACCTACAAACTTCAGGGGATCAAGATGTAATTTACTAACAAATATATTGACGGATATTAATGGTAAGAGGTCTAAGTGTTACGCGCATACAAATTTTAGGGAATTTGTGTGTAATATTTTAAATGTCAATGAGTCTGAATGATTAAGTGATAAATTTCAAAGAGTCTGAGTATAATTCTCCTATAAATTTACCGTAAATAATATATTAATTGAACCTCCCGACCTTTGGAAACGAAAAAAACCCACACAATACTGCCAACCCAACCCCTTTTTCTTATCAAATATGCTCCATTTCTCGCGTTCCCGGCCGCCCTCCTATCTCACAAGCAAACACCAATGAATTCTCCTCCACAGGTGGTGACCCTCCGATGGCTGGTTCGCACACAACCAAGGAGAGTGAGAGAGAGTGTGTTTAGGATTAATTGCACTGAAAGTCCTCAAAATATGAAGTTTGTCTTATTGTGATTCTCCAATGTTTCAATTGCATCATTTTAGACAAAAAATAATTTTGATAGTTTTGAAACAAAAATTTGGATAGCTCTTGACAAAAAATGTAATATGGGTAACTTTTGACAAAAATTTGGATAGCTCGTTATCAAAATTATGTAATTTGTATAGCTATTTAACCAAAATTTGAATACAAATTTAGTCAAGAATTATTCAAATCATTTTTTTGTCCATATTTAAGTATCACGTGACAAATTTATAATAAAAAATCGTTAGTAATCTAGACGTTGTCTGCTTGAGGGACCATATAGAAACATATTCAATATTTTCGGGACCAAAATGATGCAATTGAAATATTGGGGACTAAAATGAGACAAACCTCATACTTTGGGGACCTCCAATGCAATTAACTCAAAAGATTTAAAACTGAGTAATAGACAAATAATTAAGCATAAAAATGAGAAAAAATATAAAAACTATATATCAAAAAAATTATCAGACAAAACAACAATTTTTTTTTTGTTTTGGACCATTTTATTATTATTTTTTTATCTAATTGACGGTATCATATGTAAATTTTAAACTTTTAAGTTATAAGTTGAAAATTAATATTTTTTTTGAGTAATACTATTGGGGCCTAATTTACTGACTTAATTTACTGATCTAATTCATTATGACCTTTGGATTAATTGTGAGCTCCATTAAACATTGGAACTTGGTGTTTATCCAATGGTTCCAATGAAACAATGTCATTAGGTCAACAAATTATGTCAGATTTTTGGGTCCAAATAATATTTTCCA